GCGGGGGGGCGAGGACCCGGGTAACCCTCCCTTCCACCCCAAGCTGGATCGCCGGCCCTCGAGAGCCCGCGCCCCCATGGCGGATGCTCCGTTACCCGGTTGGGCCCGGACTCCCTCTTCATGACATCGCCTAGCGTCTCCGGAGTCGTCATCCAGAAGAATGGGTGGGGGGGCAAGGGGAGCTGGCCCAGGGTCTCGCTCCTCTGCCGTCAGGCCGGGGTCCTCCACCATCTGGCCGACCCGGTCCTGACCTCTGCCTCCTGACACCCTCCGTAGGAGTCTGAGCACAGAGCCCACAGCCCACCGTCCTCTTCTCTGAATCTCCGTGTCCATATGTCCCCCTGCAATAAACTCCAGCCCCAACTGCCTGGTGCTGTGTTTGTTGTATTGTTTGCAAGATGTCTCCCCTTTCAAGTTTGTGAGGGGAAGGCCTTCCTGGCGTCTGATCTTTGTCTCTCTTGCCCTGGGTGGGCTGGGTGGATTCTCCCCTGACCTGGGTGGGGGTGAGGGGTGTGTTGGGGGGTCCTTCTCCCATCGCCATCATGTAGTTTTGGGGGCTGGGAGAGGAGGCTTATCTGCAACAGGGCAGTTGAAGGTCAGACAGCGTGAAGGACTTTTCAGCTTTCTGTATCCCTGAGGCAGAAGACGAGTGTGTCTGGAGAGAAGCAGGGGGTCTGCCCTCCTGTTACAGCCCAGGATTAGACGGGAGAGGTGGGATGATTAATTGGGGCTTTGGGGGATTGTGACTAGTATGATTACAGTGTCAGGGACAGAAGCTAAGTCACCCTGAGATGTCAGGATGCTGCCGGGAGGGAATAAGGCCTTTTTCCTGGGATCTGAGAGACCAGGGTGAACAGGGGTGGTGGGGAGCTTCTCTGCCTCCCTGGAAATCACAGAGGAAGTTATCAGCACTGCGCTACCTTTGAAGATAAGTACAACCTCTCTGGTCTGCAATGCTCCTGGTAGCAGGAGGCAGAGAAACTTGGGTCCTGTTGAAAGAGTCAAAGGTAGTTGAATCTATCTTCCCACCGAGAAGACTGAGGCCTGGCTCCGGGCAGGGCATCGGACCCTATAGGCAGGAAGTGGTTTTCCTGTCCAGCCTCCTCCCTTGAACTGGAGGCTTTCCCAGAAAGAGTGAAGCTGAGCCTCCTCCCTCAGGCTGGGACATCTGTGGATGAGGACCGGGCTGAGAATGTCAGTCATTCTGGTTACCTCCCTCCCCCACTTCTACCCTTCTGGCACCACTTCCCAGAGGGGGGGGGTCTCCAGACCGAAGGGCAACCCTGGAAGCCAGCACCCCTTTGTGGTGAGCACAGGTGATGGTTGAAGGGCACTGACTTTGGGGTCAAATGCCCAGGTTCAAATTCCCACTTTTCCTCTCACTAGCTGTGTGACCTTGGGCAGGTTCCTCAACCTTTCTGGTCCTGTAAAACCAAAATGGTAATAGTACTGAGAGTTTCTGTGAGGAATAAATAAGCTAGTGATCTGCAGCTTTTTGAACAGCATCACATGTTCTTTCTCTCTACCCACCTCTGTCCCTCAGGGATTCAAAAACCACAGCCTGCATCCCAAGGGATATCAAGTCAGCGCAGAGCTTCTGGAGACCGGCAAGTGGTGAGTTGGAGGTGGGGACTGCTGCATCTCTGTTCCCCTGGGCTCTCTTTCTAGCTTCCCGTCCTCTTCTCCCCAGCTCCATTTCTCCCCGGCCCTCAGTTTCTCTTCCTGTCTCTGTGTCTCCCTCTCCACCCTCCTCTCTCCCCCTTCTCTCATTCTGTCTCTGCCTCTCTGTCTCTCCCTGACCTCTCTCAGTGTAGTCTCTGCCTCTGTCCCTCACTCGGCTCTCTCTGACTCACTCTCCTGCCTCTGTCGCCCTCCAACGTGGCTGGCTCTCTTTCCATTTCTTCTCCTTCCCCCATCTTGCCCCAACACCCCCACCTTGCTCTTCCCCTCTCTCCCCCCGCCCCACCTACTTTCCCATTTCTTCTCTGGTTCAGCCCCTTCTGCCCTATCGCCTCCCCTGTGTTGGGCTCTCTTCCTGATCTCTCAGTCTCTCTTTTGGCCGCTGTCTCTTAATTTTGCACTTAGCAAACATTTACTGAGCCTTTACGATGTGCCAGGCCTTATTTTAGGCACCGTGGTCACAGCCGTGAACAAAACAGGCAAAACGTCCTGCTCTCGAGGGAGCTGACATATTACTGGCGAGACAGACAAAAGATAGGATTAGTAACGTAGATATATGTTATGACCGGTCATAAGAAGCACCAAGGAGGAAAATAATCAGGGTCAAGGTGACGGGGAGGGATGGAGTTGTTGATCACTGGGCAGAAGCGAGGGCAGGGCATGCCGATCTCTGAGGGAAGCATGTGCCAAGAAGTGGGAACAGCAAGGGCAGTGGCCCCGAGGCTCAGGTGCTTGGCTTGTCCAAGGAACCACCAAGAGACCAGTGAGTGAGCAGAATGAGTGATGGGAAGAGCAGGAGGAGGTGAGCCGAGAGAGAGAAAGGGGGCAGATGGTGCAGAGCCTCATGGGCTGCCCTGAGGACTTTGGCTTTTGCTTGGAGAGAGCTGAAGCCATGGGAGGTTTGTGAGCTGAGGAGGGACAGAGCCAACCTAGGTGTCAACAGGACTCTCTCATTGCGGGGTGGGAAGGAACGGTACGGGGCAAGGGCGGAAGCCGGGAGCCCAGGGAGGAGGCCACTGCCATCGTTCAGGTGAGGGACAGTGGTGGCTAGAACAAGATGGTGGCCTGGAGGAAAAGTGGGTGGTCCAAATCTCTGTGTGTGTGTGTGTGTGTGTGTAAATACACGTAGCATAAACGTTACCATTTAAACCACTTTAAAGTGTACAGTACAGGGCATTAAGTGTGGTGTGCAACCATAACCACCTCCATCCATCTGGTTGTCATGAAAGGAGGGAGGGAAGGAGGGACTGGGCCAGAGGGCCTCAGGCTGTAACACAGTCCTCAGGAAGTCGGGGGGGGGCGCGGAGGTGTGTTTCCGGGGGTCCTTAAACAAAGGCTGCCCATCAGAGGAGTCCTGGGTGGCGTGGTAATGGGCTGGCTCTAGTACCCGCTGTCGTCGTTGGGAGGAGCCCCAGGGAAGCATGGCCTTGGCACCAATGCGGTGGCGCTGTCGGACAGCTGGGCCCTCGGCCAACTGTTTCTAGTTCTTTCTGTGCATAGGGTCAGCCTGCTCCCCAAGCGGCTTCGCAGGGAGCCTACAGATGGAGGCACCTGTGAACTCATTCCCATCCCTCGGAGGGAGGGAGGCCTGGCCCGTATTGGTGTGCCGAAGGGCTTTCCTTCAACTTGATTGGGTCAGTGCAGGTCACATGACAAACCTGGACCCAATGCCTGGGCCAGGCGCCGTCAGGTGCTGTTGGTTAAGGCTTGGGTTCAACCACTCACTGGCAAGTGGAGGCGGGATTACTCGGTAGGTTTAGCCCAATCAGGACCCATTGCTGGATCAGGCCAAAGCCTGTAGACATCCCGTCTGCATCTGAGCTTCGAGGAGCGGGACTGCCAGGAGGGGGCGCCGAAGAGTCGCTGTCCTCCCCGACGCCTACCCCTGGCCTGGAATCCGAGGTTCACGATCAGAGCAGGAATATAAGTGCGTGCACGTGCGAGGGGCCTGCTACTGGGATCCCTTGTCTCTTATCCACAATTCCGAATTCGAAAAAGCTGTGACAACCGAAAAATATTTCTTTAGGGGTAATTTTGGCCCAGTGTCACATGGTGGCAGATCAACTAATATGAGTTATTTACACTCTTTATCTCCTTTTAGTGCGAATTTTCACACGCGTTTTGCTGCAAATATATTAACATGTCTGATGGTGAGGGGGCTGTCTCAGGCCCCTGGGAGTGTTACGTAAAATATAGCATTAGCTCAGAATTACCTTTCTAAAATTGGAACAATTCTGAGTTCTGAAATGCATCTGTCCCCATGGATTTTCAGCTAAGGGATTGTGGACCTCTAATTGGGCATGCTGCCAAACCTAGATTCATCTTAATTACTTGTTCAACATTTATTTAATGGTTTGGGGAAGAAACTCATTTTCCATTACAATAAAAAAATAGAGAATGGGGGTAATTTACCAAGTCCCTTTTGTTAATCATATGCTATTTTTAGTGTCGTGTGTGTATGCGTATGTGACCGAGTATGTGTCCATGTGAGGCTGTGTCTCTTTGTATGTGTTACAGTATTGCTGTGCATGTGTGTGTGTGCATATGTGGGTCTGTGCAAGAGTTTGTGTGTGTGAAGGCGTGTTTGATCATGTTTGTGTGTGAGCGTCTAGTTGTGTTCTCTACAAAATTACCGAGAAATTTTGCGCCGTCAAGCGATACCTTGTATTTCCACTAGAGGTCGCCTGTCTGCTTTGGCCAGAAGAAATGTAAAACTACATTTTTTGCCATTTAATCCGGAAATTGTTGATTCTTGCAGAGATGTGTCAGGGACAGTTAGCTCAGGCTCAGCTCAGCTGCTCATAGAGCAGAGGTTCTCAAACTTGTTGCTCTCGGGATTTTTTTTTTACATCCTTAAAAATTATTTGAGGACACCAAAGAGCTCTTGTGTATGTGAGTTGTATCTATTAATATTTAGTATTAAATTAAGACTGAGAAGTTCAAAGGGCGCCTAGCTGGCTCAGTCGGTGGAGCCAGCGGCTCATGATCTCAGGGTTGTGGGTTCGAGCCCCATGCTGGGTATGGAGATTACATAAAAATAAAATCTTAAAAAAAAAACCCTGAGAAGTTCAAAAATTTATTTATGGAGTAATTTAAAAATAACCATAATAAATTCATTGCATTTTTGGTAAATATTTTATTGTGGTAAAATGTACGTAACATAAAATTTACCATTTTAAACATTTTAGGTGTACAGTTAATGGTATGAAGAACATTTCCATTGCTGTGCAAGCATCACTACCATTCCTTTCCAGAATGTTTCCATCTTCCCAAACTGAAACTCTGTACCTATCGAACGATACTCCCCATTCCCACCCCCCCACGTTCCTCAACCCTAGGTAACCTCTAGTCTACTTTCTGCCTCTGAGAATTTCCCTGTTTCTTGTGCCTCCTGTAAGCAGAATCATCCAATATTTGTCCTTTTGTATCTGTCTTGTTCCACTTAACATCATGTGGTCGAGTTTCATCCATGCTGTATCATGTGTCAGAATTTCCTCCTTTTCTAAGGCCAAATAATATTCCATTGAATGTATCTATCACATTTGGCTTATCCATATTCATCTGGGTTTTTTTTGTTTTGTTTTTTGTTTTGTTTTTGAGAGAGAGCATGAGCAACGTGGGGGGAGAGGGAGAGAGAGAATCTAAGCAGACTCCACGCCCAGCATGGAGCCTGACGCGGAGCTCGATCCCATGACCTCAAGATCATGACCCTGAGCCAAAATCAAGACTCAGACACTTAACTGACTGAGCCACCCAGGTGCCCCAATCCACTCATCTGTCGATGGGCATTTGGAAACTCCTTGCATTTTAACATAAATAACATTTTAAATGAAAAGTCTATGTTGGGGCACCTGGGTGGCTCAGTTGGTTAAGTGTCTGCCTTCAGCTCAGGTCATGATCCTGGGATCGAGCCCCGCATTGGGCTCCCTGCTCTGTGGGGAGACTGCTTCTTCTTCTCTCTCTGCCTGTCGCTCCCCCTGCTTGTGCTTTCTCTCTGTCAAATAAATAAATAAAATCTAAAAAAAAAAAGTGCCGTGTTTTCCAAAATAAAAAATTTAATGAGAAGAGTGGCCTTGTTTCACATTTTTGAGAATATTTAATGCCTAGCTCAAGAGAAGACAAGTGGATTCTCAAAGCTGTTCTGCATTCGATGTATTGCAATGTTATCAGGCATCTAGCCTCTGGAAAAATCTGGGTGAAGTCCAGCCAAGTCATGGGAAGTCCCGAGCATGGGCTTTTCAAGCCTGTTAACCCTCCACCCACAACGTCCTGAAACTTATGTGGTTGTAAAACTGCCTTTAGTCATCCAGGTCATGTACATTTAACATCTGGTGCTGGGTACAATTTCTTACAACGTTCCCAGCACTGTCTTGCTATGTGGCCTAAGGATCATAAATAAAATAATCTGGTGGTCACATAGTCATGCTGCAACTATGTAATGATGGTGAGTCCGTGGATATACTGCTGGTAATGTATCCGTTCCCTCATCAGGTGATTAAGAACGAAAACCTGTACACATACTGATGTTTATTTAGCGCATGCATCTGGGGGTTGGCTGAGGGTCAGCTGATTGTGCTTGGAAGGCCTGCTTCTCCCTCTCCACTCCCCCTGCTTGTGTTCCCTCTCTCGCTGTGTCTCCCTCTGTCAAATAAATAAATAAAATCTTTTAAAAAAATAAAAAAGATTTTATTTGTTTATTCGAGAGACAGAGAGCATTAGAGAGAGAGAGTGCGTAAGCAAGGGGAGCTGCAGTGGGAGAGGGAGAAGCAGACTCCCCACTGAGCAGGGAGCCCAACACAGGGCTCGATCCCAGGACCCCGGGATCATGACCTGAGCTGAAGGCAGATGCTTAACCGACTGAGCCACCCAGGTGCCCTGGGCTTGCTTTCTCCTTAGATTTATGTAAAAGGATAGGGTCACAGTTGTCCATCAGTGTCACAAGTAAAACAAAAAAAATTGGGCAGCCCCCCCCCATATGCCCTTTGCATTGTGATTTTGTAGTTGCTCCTCTCAATTTTGGAAGTCAGTTTCCCCAACCCTTGAATTTGGGCTGGACTTGACCAATAGAATGTGACGGGAGGGATGTGGTGTCAGTCACGAGTCTAGGTCTCAAGAGTCTGTGTCTTCTGTTTGTTCTCTTAGAAAGTGTCCACTGTCATGGGAATCAGCTTAGGTTTACCTGCTGGAGGATGAGAGACTGCACCAAGGAGATCTAAGTTACCCAGCTGATATCCCGCCAACTCCTGGAGACAGAGCCACCTGCCCAACCACAGCTGATGGTGTATGCATGGATGAGCTCATCCAAGACCAAAAGACCCATCCAGCTGACCCATAGATCTGTGAGCAACAACAAAGGTATTCTTTCTTTTTTTTTAAAGATTTTTATTTATTTATTTGACAGAGAGAGAGACACAGCGAGAGAGGGAACACAAGCAGGGGGAGTGGGAGAGGGAGAAGCAGGCTTCCCGCGGAGCAGGGAGCCCTATGTGGGGCTCGATCCCAGGACCCCGGGACCATGACCTGAGCTGAAGGCAGACGCTTAACGACTGAGCCACCCAGGTGCCCCAACAAAGGTATTCTTTTAAGCCATTAATATTTGGGGATATTTATTACATAGCTCTCTTAGTCCATTAGGGCTGCTATAGCAAATTACCAAAGACTGAGCCGCTAAAACAACAAATATTTATTCTCATGGCTCTGGAGGCTAGAAGTCCATGGACAAGATGCCAGCAGATTCCCGCGTCCTGGTTTGCAGATGGCCACTTCTCATGGTGTCCTCACATGGCAGAAAGAGTGAGAGCCCCTGAGGTCCTGTGTGTAAGGGCACTGACCCTGGGGCTCCTGGCTGGCTCAGTCAGTGGAGCGCGCAGCTCTTGATCTTAGGGTTGTGAGTTCGAGCCCCATGTTGGGTGAGAGGATGACCTAAAAAATAAAATTTGGGGGCACCTCGGTGGTTTAGTTGGTTGAGGTCTGACTCTTTGTTTTGGCTCACGTCATGATCTCAGGGTCGTGGGATGGAGCCCTGCATTGGACTCTGCTCTCAGCGGGGAGTCTGCTTGAGGATTCTCTCCCTCTCCCTCTGCTCCTCCCCTTGCCCGTGCACGCGCTCTCTCTCAAATAAATTAAATCTTCAAATAATAAATAGAATCTTAAAAAAAATAAAGGCACTGATCCCATTCATGAGGGTTCAACTCTCATGATCTAATCACCCCCAAGTCCCCGCTTCCTAATTCTGTCACACTGGAGCATAAGGTTTTACCATACGAATTTTGGGGGGACACAAATATTCAGTCTATAACAACAATAGTTAACTGATACACTGTGGGCTCTTCATAGCTCCTCTTAGTGCGACAGTAAAGGTCTTCAGAGCAATGCACAGAGCCTGAGAAATCTCTTTGTCGTCTGTCCTCGCTGCCCAGGACGCCTGGGGCTCGGGACTGTGGGTGACTGAAAAATTTCCTTGCTGGCAGAAGACAGAAGCAACGTAGATGAACACTTAGGAAGTGCTTGCACTGAATTTGATAAGGAACAAGGGGAGCATCTCTTGCTATCTGCTTTCTGTTTGACCGTGTTCTGATGTCCACATTCATTGTGATATGAAGAATCAAATGTGGTTTCTGTCAAGAGAGAAGGGGCAGCTGTAATCCTGGCAGCTCTTAAGGCAAATTGTCAGACAGGGGCAGGGAGGCAACAGAGGGGACAGTGAAGGTGGGAGGGTGGTGGGAGCTGAGCGGGCACTGAGATATGGGGGGGGGCTGTGGCACCTTGGGTAGTGGGGAGTCTCTGAGGCCAAATGTGAAAGAGAAATGGAGGTGCAAAGAGATGTTAAGAGATGGAGAGATGGAGGGTCGCCTGGGTGGCTCAGTTGGTTGAACGTCTGACTCCTGATTTCGGCTCAGGTCATAATCTCAGGGTCCTGGGTTCGAGCCCCGCATCAGGCTCCCTGCTCGGCGGGGAGTCTGCTTCTTCCTCTCCCTCTGCTGCTCCCCCTGCTCATGTGTGCACTCTCTCTCGCAAATAAATAAATAAAATTTTTTTTTTTTAAAAAGAGATGGAGAGATGGATGGAGAGAAGTGGAGGGACAGAGGTCCCGAGAGAGACAGAACGCTTGCGGGGTTGAGAAGGAGGGAGACTGAAGGGAGGAGCAGAGGAAGGGCTGGGATATGGAAAAGAGAAGCCGTGAGGGGCTGAGGAGGAGAGAAACAGAGAACAGAAGCTCAGGAGGAAGATGGGAGACTGAGAGGTGGAGAGGTGGGGGAAGGGAAAGAGGAAGAGATGGAGTGAAGACAGAGAGGGGGCTGAACATGCCAAGATAGAAGGAAGAAGGACAGATGGTGGTTGTGAGGGCATGAGGCTGGAAGGGCCTGAGTTCCCTGGAAGCGGCTCAGAGACACCAAGAGAGTGAGGGTCAGAGGGTATGGAGAGCTCCCCCAGAGGCTGGGTGAAGGAGAGACCGGGAGGTGGGGGGAACCAAGGGAGAGGCAAGGACACCAAGAGACAGTGGCACAGAGCAGGGAAGCGGTCAGGGGCCGGAGGAAGACACGGATGGAGGAGGAACAGGAGGCTGGATGGTGGACAGAGGCCAAGGAAAGAGGGATCGAGAGAAGGAAATGCCGAAATCCGGGCTGACTTAGAGGAGGGGAACTCACTAAGAAGAGAGGGGCCGAGAATTCTGAGAAAGAGACAAGAAGGTGGTGTGCAATTAGCCCTGGAGAGAGCCAAACCAAGAAATGGAGGACGTCCGGTGGCTGGGAAGAGAAGAGGTGCTGCAGGGAAGTGGAGAAGAGAGAGAAAGAGGGAGACAAGGAAACTGAGGCAGGGGGTGACCTGGGAGGCGGGTGATATCCGGGTTTGGGGAGTGGAAAGAAAGCTAAAGATGGAACCAAATGGAGATGAAGCCGCGGGAATTCTGAGAGGCGCAGAAGCTGAGAGACGCCCAGACAGGAGCGTCTGTTGCTCGTCCCTTTTGTGTTTGGTGACTTACAGAACCCAGAAGAGCTGTTATCATCAGGTTCATGACTTATCATAGGGCAAGGAGAGAGGTTTGAGTCAGCCGAGGGGAAGTGTGTGCAGGGCAGCATCCGGGAGAGAGCAGGCACGAGCTTCTGCTTGTCTGTCCCCATGGAGTCTTAGGGACAGCGCTCACTTTTCCTGGCAACCTTATGTGACCACACACACATGGTGTATTGCCAACCAGGGAGCTCCCCTGAGCCTTGGCGTCCAGGGCTTTTGTTGGGGGGTCAGTTACCCAGGCATGGAGCCCTAGGGGACCATGCATCTGCCTACCACCCCTACAGTGGGCTACAGCTTTGCCAGAAAAGGGAATGGTCTATATGTGCACCATGATGGAAGTCCAGAGCATCATATGGAATGAAAGAAGCCAGGCAAGGAAAATCCCCTCCTCCTGGGCGAGTCTATGCACACGTATGAAATTCTAGGAAATGCAAACTAATCTCTTGGGCTGGAAGGCAGAGCGGTGCTTTGCAGAGGGCAGAGGGTGGAGGGAGGTATTGATTACAGAGAAGAGCAAAGGACCTTCTGGGCATTATGGAAATGTTTGTTAATTTGATTGCGGTGATGGTTTCACATACATATTTCATTCTCGAGACTTGCTGTTTATAGCACATCAATTATGCTTTAATAAAGTTGTAAAAAATAGCACATAGTAACTCTGTTATATACTCTGACGGATTTAGCAAGAGACTAATTAGGTGTCTTACTTCAGTTTTGCATCCTCAGCTTTTGCTCATTTGCCACAAGCACCAGTCATTTAAAAAGTTTTATTATGGGGGGCACCTGGGGGGGGGCGCAGTCAGCTGAGCATTGGACTCTTGGTTTCAGCTCAGGTCATGATCTGAGGGTCCTGAGATCAAGCCCTGTGTCTGGGTCTGTGCTCAGCAGGGAGTCTGCTTGAAGATTCTCTCCCTCTGCCCCCGCTCAAATGAATAAATCTTAAAAAAAAATAGATAAAAAGCTTTATTATGGTAAGGTGTTTTGCATTTGATCATGACATTCTGACAACAACCCTTAGCACTATATCTTCTTTCCCTCATTTTATAGATGTGGGATGGATGCAGAGGGGTCAGAAACATGTCCAGTCACATACGAGGGTTTATCTGCCTGAAAAGACCTCTGTGAATTCGGAATTCTTTTTTTAAAAATTGAGGTAGGGCGCCTGGGTGGCTCAGTTGGTTAAGCGACTGCCTTTGGCTCAGGTCATGATCCCAGGGTCCTGGGATCGAGCCCCACATCAGGCTCCCTGCTTGGTGGGAAGCCTGCTTCTCCCCCTCCCGCTCCCGCTGCTTGTCTTCCCTCTCCCACTGTCTGTC